CTGGCTGCTGCAGCCGTCCTGGAATCAACAAAAGGCCAGTGACCAGCAGGCCCACAGCCGGCCACTGTAAGCGTTGTAGTGGCCCTCTCGTGCCATTGGACAATGGCTCTGGTCCAGTCCGTGTAGAGGCGGCTGTATGTGGCCGCTCCATGCCCCAAGCCAGATGATTTGCCTGAATTTGGCCAGCTGCCGAGTGAACTTGAGTGGGTCGACCTCGTTCTGTACGCTCCAGGATGGCACCAGAAGCTGTGGAATAAAGGAAAACAGAGTTTTTGCCACCCTGATCAGCATTATTAATTTTTCTCCGTCTCTTTTTAGAAACTCTGCAGATCCTGGCCTCCGACTGCACGATCGCCAAACTTCCAGCTGGAGCCTCTTCTTGTTGATCAGTGCGGGCTCGGTTCTCTTCAGCAGTAAATGCGGCGTCCATCGCGTCATCCAATTCCCTTTCCAGTCGCTGTTGCAGAGTGTTCATTCCCTCCTCTAGCAGCTGCTCAGGAGTAGGCGGAGGGAGCTCATGTGGCTCGAGCGGAGTCATTATGAGCCTCTGTATGTATTCAGGCTCAAAACGGATTGTTTCTGCCATTTGTAACCGAGTTCTTTCCCCAGTTCTCAGCATCCGAGCAACGTGATTCACCCAGCATATGGAAGGTCTCTCCTGTGGGATTCCGAGAGCTATGCGACGCTCTTGTTCAAGGCGTTTTCGCTGGATAACTGCCTCCTTGGCTCGGGCTTCATTTAGTAGACGCTGCTGCTCAAATGCAATCTGCTCGCAGTGAATTAAAGTTGGCAGCGGTTGCTGCTGTTGGGCTGCTGCTATCTGCAAGAGCTGCTGTTGGAGCGGACGAACGTGAGTTACCAGCTGCTTTTTGTATCTCGGCCGGTCCAGTCTCTGAGGGATGAATGGATACATAATGAGCTTCCTTGCTTCCAGATTTGGATGAGTAAAAAGTGATGTTGCCATCCTGCTGCTAGACGTGTTAAAGATGTCCTCCGCTGAGTCGATGTTGTGTGCCTCTCGGATGTCCTGGCTTCTGATGTATCTGCTGGCCATTGCAATCTTTCTCACGAGTCGGTTTTGCGTGCCTTCTATCCTGCGGAATTGAGAGTCACATACCAAAGCTCCCCAAACAGGTAAGGCATATTGCCATATCGGGGCGATTATTTGCTTATACACAACCATTTTGCATTCTTTTGACAGCCGGCTCTGACTGCCTATGATCCAATTCAACTTTATGGCTGCTGTCCTCACTCTATTCACCAGGCAGGATACATGTGCATGCAGGACCAGCTTCCTGTCCATTATCAGGCCTAAGTAGCGGTGACTACGCTTATTAACGATATGAGTATCATACATTTTTGGTGACAGTTCGCTAATTCCGTTTCCCATTGATTTCCTTGTGTATAATACATGTATCGTTTTGTCTTTATTTAGGTTGATGCCCCATTTAGAGGCCCAGGAGGTGAAACTTTTGAGATAGATCTCGTTCGTACGGACTGCTGTATTGGCCAAGCTTCTGGCACACAGGATGATGGTATCGTCAGCGTATGTTGATAACAGCATGTCCTTAAAGAAATCTGACTCTCTTCCATCATTTTGTCCTGCTAGGTGCGGCAGTGGCATGTCTGACGTAAAGACAGTGTATAGCACGGGGCCAAGGACACTCCCCTGTGGAACTCCAGCGCAGATTCTTCCGGATCTAGACCGTACTCCGTTTTGGCCATTTACAACAAATGATCTATCAGTGAGATAGCTTTCCAAAACCTGATAGTACGCAAAAGGCAGCAGCTTGGCTAGCTTGAGCAGAAGGCCACTGTGCCAGACTCTGTCGAAGGCTTCACTTACGTCTATGAAAACAGCAGAACAGAATAATCGTTTTTCATAGGAGTCCAGAATGTATTGCGTGACGCGTGCCAGCTGCTGCTCAGTGCTATGATGTCTCCTAAACCCAAACTGGTGTGATGGAATGGCGTTTTCAAATTCCCTGCATTCAAACATCCGTTTCATGAGTAGCGTTTCAAATAGCTTTGAGAAGCCAGCCAAGAGGCTAATTGGTCGGTATGAGCCAACATCATTTGCGCTTTTGCCTGGTTTCTTTATCATTGTAATTGCAGCACATTTCCATTGCTTGGGATAATGGCCGTGTCTGAGTATTGAGTTATAAATGTATGTCAGGTAAATAATTGCTTTATGTGGCAAGGCTTTTATAACTTTGTTATTAACCCGATCCATCCCAGGGGCTTTTTTGTTTTTCAGAGATCTTATTTCCAGCATGACTTCATTTGGTGAGATAGGCCTGAAAGGAGGTTTATTTCCGTCGCTAGTTTCCCCAAATTGCTGTCTTTGGAGCCACTCCGGTGTTGCTGTTAAGCGCTTTAGCTGTTCTAGTTCTTTACGCTCCTCTTCTACCCCGTTCCTAAATTCCTCAGTGTTGGCCAATTTTGGTGCAAATCTTTCTTCCAAATGCGAAACAAATGCCTCAGCTTTTTCCTCGCTAGTTCTTGTCCACCTATAGCTACCACCACTACAGCTAGGCATTTTTAGAGGCCAGTTTGGTTCTGGCTGTCTCTTGAACTTGTTTGTTAACCGCCACAGTTTGTCCATCCTATACCGATCATTAGCGTCTACTTCTTTAAAAAGTTTATTCATTTGACTATTTTTCATTTCACGAATTGCCTTTTTAAGCTTCGAGTTTGCTGCATTACATAACCTTCGCGACTCTGGTGTAGGGATCCCCATGTGCTCACGCTTGAGCTTCCATTTTATTCTTAGGAGTCTTTGAGTTTTCCTATCGATTGGAAGTCTTCCTGTGCCTGGCGCAAACCGCGAAGTTGTTATCGTAGTAGCAGTCGCCGCTGCATTATATATGTTTTGATAGAAGATGTCGATCGCATCCTCTATGTCTTCTCCTGATCTGATTTGGATATTTAAATTTATACGTTGCAGTAAGTACTCCTGAAACTTTCTGATATTAGCCTTGTTGGGTAGCAGCCTGCGATTAGTTTCAAGCGTTGCCGTCGTGCCACTGATGGCCAGTCTAACAAAGATCGGTAGATGGTCTGATTTCAGGTCAATCGTTGAATGAGTATGCAGTCTCTCACAGCTAACGCCTGCATAAACTGCAAAGTCTATGGCGGAGGGCCTTTTTCTGGGGTCAAAGGGGAAGTGTGTAGCTCCCCCTGTGGCCAGTACGTTTAGTCTGCTGTTTGAATGGATGGCTTCCATTAGGACCCTCCCCCTTTTGCATGATCTGACGTTAATAATAATAATAATAAACCACCGGCTTGTTTTTGATCTGAAGCGCACGATCCGCATAGCGCAAGGTGCTCAGGGTCTCGGACACATTATAGTCCGCGGGACTGACGCAGGCGATCATCAATTCGGCCTCACCGAATTGGAGGTCACTTCCGCTCATTTAATGCGTGGCTCTGCCGGTCGGGCTGTAGCAGCCACTGCAATGAACGAGACCTCGTCCCGTTCTCATGCCATTTTCACGCTCACCGTAGTCTCCAGCAAGCTGGAGGGAAGGTAAGTATGAACTGAAATACACACAGATTTATGTGAAAGTTTATTTTTGCATTCAATTCATCCATTGTGATCTTCAGGAAGGTGGTGACCACCTCCAAGATCAATCTGGTGGATCTGGCTGGCTCTGAACGCTGCTCCAAGACACTGGCCATCGGCGACCGCTTCAAGGAGGGGGTCAACATCAATAAAGGCCTGCTGGCCCTCGGCAACGTGATCAACGCATTGGGCTGTAGGTCCTCCTGCACATCCATAGCAAAATCCTTTCTCATTTTGTGTCCATTTTACAGCCGGACAAACTGCCGGTTACATACCGTACCGCCAGTCAAAGCTGACGCGCCTGCTGCAGGACTCGCTGGGCGGCAACTCCATCACATTGATGATCGCCTGCGTCAGTCCCGCGGACTTTAATGTGTCCGAGACCTTGAGCACCTTGCGCTATGCGGATCGTGCGCTGCAGATCAAAAACAAGCCGGTGGTTAATATGGATCCCCATGCGGCCGAGATCAATGCGCTTCAGGACATCATACAGAAGCTGCGCGCTGTTCCACCACCACTTGGCAGGGCCATTTCCGCACATCAATTCAGCCCCAAGCTAGACAGGTTAGAAAAACGAAGAAAACGACACAGCACCTGACAAATGTTCACTTTTGAAATAAAACCAATTTCCACTCTATTGTTTCCCTTTTTGCAGAAGGTATGGAATGGAATACAACACGATGTGCTATTTTACGTCATTAAAATCATAAACGTAAATGGCGCATCGTGTTGGGTCGGGATCCGATGGATGATCCACAGGCGGTTTCCCTTTCTACCTAAAAGAATTTACTAGGCATGCAGAACGTGAGCACAATATCCGAAGCATTGAATGTTAGACAGTTTTTCGCCCCAAATTCTTGTTTTCTTCACTTTACAATACATTAATGTACACATTTTAAATAATAATAATGATAATAATAATAATATTATAATGTTCCCTGCAATAGGTAGTAAATTGAACATTTAACAATAGTGTATTTAAAAGTCCACTGGCTTACCGTAGTTGGTCGATTTTTTCCGACATCGCATTTTTTTGTTGCAATTCGGCAAACAATAAGTTAGGATTGTTGATATTATATCGATATATCGATATAGGTGATATTTTTATTTTTGATACGATTATATCGGTATGATACTTTTTCGCCGACTATATCAAGAGTCGATATTTTTTGCAAATATCGACCTAGTGTTCTTTACACTGCGCGCAACAGCTTCCGTTCGAACAAGTTAAAAAACGTGTATACAAAAATGGACAAGCCCTCCTTATCGTGCAAACTTTGCGGTAAAGTTGTGAAGACAATCTGTTAAATATTTTTCCAATATATCGATATATTGATATTCTCAAATTGATAATTTCGATATGGCGATATTTAAATTTACCAAATGCGGTCATATTGATTTGTGAAAACAAAACAAATTGATAAGATATACAAAAATGGTTTGCGAAAAGTGCGAAGCGAAGTTAACGAAAGTGTCGGCCCCAAATCCCTGGAAAACTAGCACCGCTCCAGCCGGTGGACGCAAGATAAATGAAAACAAAGCCCTATCCTCTGCCCGGGACCGATACAATCCCATGGGCACGACCCTGGCACCTTGCCGGTAAAAAACAAACAATACGTTGGATTCCAGTCCTCTGACTGCTGGTCATTTCCGCATTTGCCGACAAAAGGTCCACCAGATGGGAACCCACTACTGCCAGGCGTGCGCCTACAAAAAGGCCATATGCGCCATGTGCGGCAAGAAGATTCTAAACACAAAGAACTACAAGCAGAGCTCAACGTGATGCTGCAGTCCATGGCCACACGGCACCGAGGAGTTTATACTTAAGCATAACCTAGTTATAGACAACAGAATAATTATGTATATCAGATAGTATCAACAAATGCATAAATAAGTACATCAAGCCTCTGTCGTTGGCTTCTCCCGTCGCCGCTTGGCACTTTGGATCTGCGAAGAGTAGCTGAGCGCCTCCTTGTCAAACTCAAGCGGCATAATGCCCAGATCTCCGCTGTAGCGGTTCTTGGCTATCTGCAAATACTTTTTGCCCCGCACCGATGTCAGTCGCAGTCGACCTCGTGGTGAGGTCATCCTCCTGGCGCTCCTTGCGCGGATGCATGACTAGCGTTACGTGGACATTGTGCTTGGTGGCGAAGCTGCGAAAGGCGGCAATGATGCCATCCTGCTCCCAGAACTTGTCGCCGCGAAACGAGGAGACTCCCATCATGAACTGGAGGTTGTCGATTATAATCGATAATTATCACATGCCCATTGGTATATGTTGTTTGCTACGTGTCCGTGTTCCCAGTATCGATCGCATGACCTAGCGTGACCGCTTGCAGAATTCCAGCCCCAGCTGTTGTATCGATATTTTATCCCACCATTTTCGAATTTACTAACAGCGGTGGCCGGCAAAAATGCAGCGTCACATTAGTAGCCTACGGTAAAAATTTGCACAATCGAAGCTGGCTTTTCATATTCCATATACATATGAATATATATTTATTTATTTTTACATAAACAGTACGGCAGTTGAGTCGGGTTTATTCGTTTTGTGCACATCTTTTCTACACTTTCAAATTTGGAGTTTGGAATACCTGTCCGGTCCAAAAGCTAAGGAGTCCTAGTATCCCCCCAAAAATAGCGAAAGGCGCAGCTTCTGTATGATGTCCTTAAGCGCATTGATCTCGGCCGCATGGGGATCCATATTAATCACCGGCTTGTTTTTGATCTGAAGCGCACGATCCGCATAGCGCAAGGTGCTCAGGGTCTCGGACACATTAAAGTCCGCGGGACTGACGCAGGCGATCATCAATGTGATGGAGTTGCCGCCCAGCGAGTCCTGCAGCAGGCGCGTCAGCTTTGACTGGCGGTACGGTATGTAAGCGCATTGATCTCGGCCGCATCAGGGATCCATATTAACCACCGGCTTGTTTTTGATCTGAAGCGCACGATCCGCATAGCGCAAGGTGCTCAGGGTCTCGGACACATTATAGTCCGCGGGACTGACGCAGGCGATCATCAATTCGGCCTCACCGAATTGGAGGTCACTTCCGCTCATTTAATGCGTGGCTCTGCCAGTCGGGCTGTAGCAGCCACTGCAATGAACGAGACCTCGTCCCGTTCTCATTCCATTTTCACGCTCACCGTAGTCTCCAGCAAGCTGGAGGGAAGGTAAGTATGAACTGAAATACACACAGATTTATGTGAAAGTTTATTTTTGCATTCAATTCATCCATTGTGATCTTCAGGAAGGTGGTGACCACCTCCAAGATCAATCTGGTGGATCTGGCTGGCTCTGAACGCTGCTCCAAGACACTGGCCATCGGCGACCGCTTCAAGGAGGGGGTCAATATCAATAAAGGCCTGCTGGCCCTCGGCAACGTGATCAACGCATTGGGCTGTAGGTCCTCCTGCACATCCATAGCAAAATCCTTTCTCATTTTGTGTCCATTTTACAGCCGGACAAACTGCCGGTTACATACCGTACCGCCAGTCAAAGCTGACGCGCCTGCTGCAGGACTCGCTGGGCGGCAACTCCATCACATTGATGATCGCCTGCGTCAGTCCCGCGGACTTTAATGTGTCCGAGACCTTGAGCACCTCGCGCTATGCGGATCGTGCGCTGCAGATCAAAAACAAGCCGGTGGTTAATATGGATCCCCATGCGGCCGAGATCAATGCGCTTCAGGACATCATACAGAAGCTGCGCGCTGTTCCACCACCACTTGGCAGGGCCATTTCCGCACATCAATTCAGCCCCAAGCTAGACAGGTTAGAAAAACGAAGAAAACGACACAGCACCTGACAAATGTTCACTTTTGAAATAAAACCAATTTCCACTCTATTGTTTCCCTTTTTGCAGAAGGTATGGAATGGAATACAACACGATGTGCTATTTACGTTTATGATTTTAATGACGTAAAATCATAAACGTAAATGGTGCATCGTGTTGGGTCGGGATCCGATGGATGATCCACAGGCGGTTTCCCTTTCTACCTAAAAGAATTTACTAGGCATGCGGAACGTGAGCACAATATCCGAAGCATTGAATGTTAGACAGTTTTTCGCCCCAAATTCTTGTTTTCTTCACTTTACAATACATTAATGTACACATTTTAAATAATAATAATGATAATAATAATATTATAATGTTCCCTGCAATAGGTAGTAAATTGAACATTTAACAATAGTCTACACTAGTAGCGCATTAGTGTACATACAATAGTGTATTTAAAAGTCCACTGGCTTACCGTAGTTGGTCGATTTTTTCCGTCATCGCATTTTTTTGTTGCAATTCGGCAAACAATAAGTTAGGATTGTTGATATTATATCGATATATCGATATAGGTGATATTTTTATTTTTGATACGATTATATCGGTATGATACTTTTTCGCCGACTATATAAGAGTCGATATTTTTTGCAAATATCGACCTAGTGTTCTTTACACTGCGCGCAACAGCTTCCGTTCGAACAAGTTAAAAAACGTGTATACAAAAATGGACAAGCCCTCCTTATCGTGCAAACTTTGCGGTAAAGTTGTGAAGACAATCTGTTAAATATTTTTCCAATATATCGATATATTGATATTCTCAAATTGATAATTTCGATATGGCGATATTTAAATTTACCAAATGCGGTCATATTGATTTGTGAAAACAAAACAAATTGATAAGATATACAAAAATGGTTTGCGAAAAGTGCGAAGCGAAGTTAACGAAAGTGTCGGCCCCAAATCCCTGGAAAACTAGCACCGCTCCAGCCGGTGGACGCAAGATAAATGAAAACAAAGCCCTATCCTCTGCCCGGGACCGATACAATCCCATGGGCACGACCCTGGCACCTTGCCGGTAAAAAACAAACAATACGTTGGATTCCAGTCCTCTGACTGCTGGTCATTTCCGCATTTGCCGACAAAAGGTCCACCAGATGGGAACCCACTACTGCCAGGCGTGCGCCTAAAAAAAGGCCATATGCGCCATGTGCGGCAAGAAGATTCTAAACACAAAGAACTACAAGCAGAGCTCAACGTGATGCTGCAGTCCATGGCCACACGGCACCGAGGAGTTTATACTTAAGCATAACCTAGTTATAGACAACAGAATAATTATGTATATCAGATAGTATCAACAAATGCATAAATAAGTACATCAAGCCTCTGTCGTTGGCTTCTCCCGTCGCCGCTTGGCACTTTGGATCTGCGAAGAGTAGCTGAGCGCCTCCTTGTCAAACTCAAGCGGCATAATGCCCAGATCTCCGCTGTAGCGGTTCTTGGCTATCTGCAAATACTTTTTGCCCCGCACCGATGTCATTCGCTTGTCTTGAATGATGAGCACATTGTCCGCCTCCTGTGTGGCTTTGGCCGTGCCAAAGACGGAGCTCGTGGTGAGGTCATCCTCCTGGCGCTCCTTGCGCGGATGCATGACTAGCGTTACGTGGACATTGTGCTTGGTGGCGAAGCTGCGAAAGGCGGCAATGATGCCATCCTGCTCCCAGAACTTGTCGCCGCGAAACGAGGAGACTCCCATCATGAACTGGAGGTTGTCGATTATAATCGATAATTATCACATGCCCATTGGTATATGTTGTTTGCTACGTGTCCGTGTTCCCAGTATCGATCGCATGACCTAGCGTGACCGCTTGCAGAATTCCAGCCCCAGCTGTTGTATCGATATTTTATCCCACCATTTTCGAATTTACTAACAGCGGTGGCCGGCAAAAATGCTGCGTCACATTAGTAGCCTAAGGTAAAAATTTGCACAATCGAAGCTGGCTTTTCATATTCCATATACATATGAATATATATTTATTTATTTTTACATAAACAGTACGGCAGTTGAGTCGGGTTTATTCGTTTTGTGCACATCTTTTCTACACTTTCAAATTTGGAGTTTGGAATACCTGTCCGGTCCAAAAGCTAAGGAGTCCTAGTATCCCCCCAAAAATGGCGAAAGGCGCAGCTTCTGTATGATGTCCTTAAGCGCATTGATCTCGGCCGCATGGGGATCCATATTAATCACCGGCTTGTTTTTGATCTGAAGCGCACGATCCGCATAGCGCAAGGTGCTCAGGGTCTCGGACACATTAAAGTCCGCGGGACTGACGCAGGCGATCATCAATGTGATGGAGTTGCCGCCCAGCGAGTCCTGCAGCAGGCGCGTCAGCTTTGACTGGCGGTACGGTATGTAACCGGCAGTTTGTCTCGGCCGTAAAATGGATCACAAAATGACACCGGCTTTTTTTGATGTGAAGCGCAGGACCCACAGCCCAATGTGTTGATCACGTTGCCGAGGGCCAGCAGGCCTTTATTGATGTTGACCCCCTCCTTGAAGCGGTCGCCGATGGCCAGGGTCTTGGAGCAGCCGTTCAGAGCCAGCCAGATCCACCAGATTGATCTTGGAGGTGGTCACCACCTTCCTGAAGATCAGCAATGGATGAATTGAATGCAAAAATAAACTTTCACATGAAATTATGTGTGCATTTCAGTTCATACTTACCTCTCTTCAGTAGCTGGTGACCACCTCGAGCGTGAAAATGGAATGAGAACGGGACGAGGTCTCGTTGATCGCAGTGGCTGCTACAGCCCGACTGGCAGAGCCACGCATTAAATGAGCGGAAGTGACCTCCAATTCGGTGAGGCCGAATTGATGATCGCCTGCGTCAGTCCCGCGGACTATAACGTGATCAGACGCACCTTGGGCTATGCGGATCGTGCGCTTCAGATCAAAGAACAAGCCGGTGTTTAATATGGATCCCTGATGCGGCCGAGATCAATGCGCTTACATACCGTACCGCCAGTCAAAGCTGACGCGCCTGCTGCAGGACTCGCTGGGCGGCAACTCCATCACATTGATGATCGCCTGCGTCAGTCCCGCGGACTTTAATGTGTCCGAGACCCTGAGCACCTTGCGCTATGCGGATCGTGCGCTTCAGATCAAAAACAAGCCGGTGATTAATATGGATCCCCATGCGGCCGAGATCAATGCGCTTAAGGACATCATACAGAAGCTGCGCCTTTCGCCATTTTGGGGGATACTCAGGACTCCTTAGCTTTTGGACCGGACAGGTATTCCAAACTCCAAATTTGAAAGTGTAGAAAAGATGTGCACAAAACGAATAAACCCGACTCAACTGCCGTACTGTTTATGTAAAAATAAATAAATATATATTCATATGTATATGGAATATGAAAAGCCAGCTTCGATTGTGCAAATTTTTACCGTAGGCTACTAATGTGACGCTGCATTTTTGCCGGCCACCGCTGTTAGTAAATTCGAAAATGGTGGGATAAAATATCGATACAACAGCTGGGGCTGGAATTCTGCAAGCGGTCACGCTAGGTCATGCGATCGATACTGGGAACACGGACACGTAGCAAACAACATATACCAATGGGCATGTGATAATTATCGATTATAATCGACAACCTCCAGTTCATGATGGGAGTCTCCTCGTTTCGCGGCGACAAGTTCTGGGAGCAGGATGGCATCATTGCCGCCTTTCGCAGCTTCGCCACCAAGCACAATGTCCACGTAACGCTAGTCATGCATCCGCGCAAGGAGCGCCAGGAGGATGACCTCACCACGAGCTCCGTCTTTGGCACGGCCAAAGCCACACAGGAGGCGGACAATGTGCTCATCATTCAAGACAAGCGACTGACATCGGTGCGGGGCAAAAAGTATTTGCAGATAGCCAAGAACCGCTACAGCGGAGATCTGGGCATTATGCCGCTTGAGTTTGACAAGGAGGCGCTCAGCTACTCTTCGCAGATCCAAAGTGCCAAGCGGCGACGGGAGAAGCCAACGACAGAGGCTTGATGTACTTATTTATGCATTTGTTGATACTATCTGATATACATAATTATTCTGTTGTCTATAACTAGGTTATGCTTAAGTATAAACTCCTCGGTGCCGTGTGGCCATGGACTGCAGCATCACGTTGAGCTCTGCTTGTAGTTCTTTGTGTTTAGAATCTTCTTGCCGCACATGGCGCATATGGCCTTTTTGTAGGCGCACGCCTGGCAGTAGTGGGCTCCCATCTGGTGGACCTTTTGTCGGCAAATGCTGAAATGACCAGCAGTCAGAGGACTGGAATCCAACGTATTGTTTGTTTTTTACCGGCAAGGTGCCAGGGTCGTGCCCATGGGATTGTATCGGTCCCGGGCAGAGGATAGGGCTTTGTTTTCATTTATCTTGCGTCCACCGGCTGGAGCGGTGCTAGTTTTCCAGGGATTTGGGGCCGACACTTTTGTTAACTTCGCTTCGCACTTTTCGCAAACCATTTTTGTATATCTTATCAATTTGTTTTGTTTTCACAAATCAATATGACCGCATTTGGTAAATTTAAATATCGCCATATCGAAATTATCAATTTGAGAATATCAATATATCGATATATTGGAAAAATATTTAACAGATTGTCTTCACAACTTTACCGCAAAGTTTGCACGATAAGGAGGGCTTGTCCATTTTTGTATACACGTTTATTAACTTGTTCGAACGGAAGCTGTTGCGCGCAGTGTAAAGAACACTAGGTCGATATTTGCAAAAAATATCGACTCTAGATATAGTCGGCGAAAAAGTATCATACCGATATAATCGTATCAAAAATAAAAATATCACCTATATCGATATATCGATATAATATCAACAATCCTAACTTATTGTTTGCCGAATTGCAACAAAAAAATGCGATGACGGAAAAAATCGACCAACTACGGTAAGCCAGTGGACTTTTAAATACACTATTGTATGTACACTAATGCGCTACTAGTGTAGACTATTGTTAAATGTTCAATTTACTACCTATTGCAGGGAACATTATAATATTATTATTATCATTATTATTATTTAAAATGTGTACATTAATGTATTGTAAAGTGAAGAAAACAAGAATTTGGGGCGAAAAACTGTCTAACATTCAATGCTTCGGATATTGTGCTCACGTTCCGCATGCCTAGTAAATTCTTTTAGGTAGAAAGGGAAACCGCCTGTGGATCATCCATCGGATCCCGACCCAACACGATGCGCCATTTACGTTTATGATTTTGCGTCATTAAAATCATAAACGTAAATAGCACATCGTGTTGTATTCCATTCCATACCTTCTGCAAAAAGGGAAACAATAGAGTGGAAATTGATTTTATTTCAAAAGTGAACATTTGTCAGGTGCTGTGTCGTTTTCTTCGTTTTTCTGACCTGTCTAGCTTGGGGCTGAATTGATGTGCGGAAATGGCCCTGCCAAGTGGTGGTGGAACAGCGCGCAGCTTCTGTATGATGTCCTGAAGCGCATTGATCTCGGCCGCATGGGGATCCATATTAACCACCGGCTTGTTTTTGATCTGCAGCGCACGATCCGCATAGCGCAAGGTGCTCAAGGTCTCGGACACATTAAAGTCCGCGGGACTGACGCAGGCGATCATCAATGTGATGGAGTTGCCGCCCAGCGAGTCCTGCAGCAGGCGCGTCAGCTTTGACTGGCGGTACGGTATGTAACCGGCAGTTTGTCCGGCTGTAAAATGGACACAAAATGAGAAAGGATTTTGCTATGGATGTGCAGGAGGACCTACAGCCCAATGCGTTGATCACGTTGCCGAGGGCCAGCAGGCCTTTATTGATGTTGACCCCCTCCTTGAAGCGGTCGCCGATGGCCAGTGTCTTGGAGCAGCGTTCAGAGCCAGCCAGATCCACCAGATTGATCTTGGAGGTGGTCACCACCTTCCTGAAGATCACAATGGATGAATCGAATGCAAAAATAAACTTTCACATAAATCTGTGTGTATTTCAGTTCATACTTACCTTCCCTCCAGCTTGCTGGAGACTACGGTGAGCGTGAAAATGGCATGAGAACGGGACGAGGTCTCGTTCATTGCAGTGGCTGCTACAGCCCGACCGGCAGAGCCACGCATTAAATGAGCGGAAGTGACCTCCAATTCGGTGAGGCCGAATTGATGATCGCCTGCGTCAGTCCCGCGGACTATAATGTGTCCGAGACCCTGAGCACCTTGCGCTATGCGGATCGTGCGCTTATGGATCCCTGATGCGGCCGAGATCAATGCGCTTACATACCGTACCGCCAGTCAAAGCTGACGCGCCTGCTGCAGGACTCGCTGGGCGGCAACTCCATCACATTGATGATCGCCTGCGTCAGTCCCGCGGACTTTAATGTGTCCGAGACCTTGAGCACCTTGCGCTATGCGGATCGTGCGCTTCAGATCAAAAACAAGCCGGTGATTAATATGGATCCCCATGCGGCCGAGATCAATGCGCTTAAGGACATCATACAGAAGCTGCGCCTTTCGCCATTTTTGGGGGGATACTAGGACTCCTTAGCTTTTGGACCGGACAGGTATTCCAAACTCCAAATTTGAAAGTGTAGAAAAGATGTGCACAAAACGAATAAACCCGACTCAACTGCCGTACTGTTTATGTAAAAATAAATAAATATATATTCATATGTATATGGAATATGAAAAGCCAGCTTCGATTGTGCAAATTTTTACCGTAGGCTACTAAGGCCACCGCTGTTAGTAAATTCGAAAATGGTGGGATAAAATATCGATACAACAGCTGGGGCTGGAATTCTGCAAGCGGTCACGCTAGGTCATGCGATCGATACTGGGAACACGGACACGTAGCAAACAACATATACCAATGGGCATGTGATAATTATCGATTATAATCGACAACCTCCAGTTCATGATGGGAGTCTCCTCGTTTCGCGGCGACAAGTTCTGGGAGCAGGATGGCATCATTGCCGCCTTTCGCAGCTTCGCCACCAAGCACAATGTCCACGTAACGCTAGTCATGCATCCGCGCAAGGAGCGCCAGGAGGATGACCTCACCACGAGCTCCGTCTTTGGCACGGCCAAAGCCACACAGGAGGCGGACAATGTGCTCATCATTCAAGACAAGCGACTGACATCGGTGCGGGGCAAAAAGTATTTGCAGATAGCCAAGAACCGCTACAGCGGAGATCTGGGCATTATGCCGCTTGAGTTTGACAAGGAGGCGCTCAGCTACTCTTCGCAGATCCAAAGTGCCAAGCGGCGACGGGAGAAGCCAACGACAGAGGCTTGATGTACTTATTTATGCATTTGTTGATACTATCTGATATACATAATTATTCTGTTGTCTATAACTAGGTTATGCTTAAGTATAAACTCCTCGGTGCCGTGTGGCCATGTGTTATGGACGGCTTTTTGAAGGAGCCGACAGGGCTGGAGAAGGAGAGGAGACAGCGGCCTCTGTTGTGGATCCTGGGAGGCTGTAACAGGGTTGCACGGAGGGAGCAAGGTGGCAAGGCTAGAGAAGGAAGAAAAACGTGGTCGTAAAGGTTATGTGGCGAGGGTCAGTTGTTTCCGGGAAGAGAAGAGATAGACCAGAGGAAATCGCCAGTAACGCTAAAAGAAAAAAGATTGAAAAAAATAATTAAAATAAAAAAATAAATAAGTGAAGAGGCCACTACACCAAGGGACGACAACGAGGCTACAACGGCACAGCGATTCCAGGCAAGGAGCCGACTGCTGGGTCAGCGCCAAGACTGGCCCGGCCGGAGCATCTCTGGAGGAGCACGGCAGGGAGCTGCAACCAACGCGAACGGAGGCCACATCCATGGGAGGATCCCTGCACACCCCAGCATCACACACCGGCACAGCACACCCCGTACACACACATTATACACATCACACACACATTATACACATCACACACACAACATACACATCGCACACACCACACAAAAACCCGCATGTATTAAAATAGCAAATAGCCACACATAGTAACCCCATCATGAATATATTTAAATCTGAATAATACCCTGCGCCCAACTAGCCCCGTCACATATTCACACACAAATACCCACTCATTCACAACAGCCGCATTCGCACTATATATCTTTATTCCCGGAGCTACTTCTCGATTCACATTAACTACATATATTTTCTTTGACTTAATAGTCCACAACACATGAATTAAAATGAAATAAAATACAAAAAAAACAAAAAACAACAACACAAAGTATTTTAGGATAGTTTTTGCGTTAAAGCCCGTCCTATTAATCAATGTAAGCGGGTCTATTTTTTTCCCCCGAACTCCACCCCCTTTCACAATTTATGCACATGCAATAATTACTAACAAGAGCTCTTTTTAGTTTAAGTTAACCATTTAAATTTGCATTTAAAATTATATTACAGCCGGCAAAAAAAAATAGAATCCGTGTGTATCTTTTTTGAATGTTAGTATTTTTATACCCGTACTCAAAAAAGAGTTAAGGGGTATATTAGATTTGTGGTAAAAGTGGATGTGTGTAACGCAGAGAAGGAAACGTTTCCGACCCCATAAAGTATATATATTCTTGATCAGCATCAATAGCCGAGTCGATATAGCCATGTCTGTCTGTCCGTCTGTCCGTCTGTCTGTCTCGATGAGCGCCTAGATCTCAGAAACTATAAGAGCTAGGGCAACCAAATTTGGTTTCCAGACTCATGTGATATCACACTGCTACAAGTGTATTTCAGAATTTCGCCCCGCCCCCTTCCGCCCCCACAAAGGACGAAAATCTGTGGCAGGCACAATTTTAAAGATACGATAAAACTAAAAACGCAGTATCGTAGAGAATGCCCATATCTACCAGACTGCTGAATCTGAATTAGATCGGATCATAATTATAGCCAGAATGACGAAATTAATTTTCAGTTGCTTCCCCTGCCCCCCCTCCCACAAACGACAACGAAACTCATTTTCCTTCTCGCTCGCACACTCTGCCGCGTTCAGTGCGCGAGCAACCCCTAGCGGAAAAGATGTAGAATATGAATAGTACATCTATAATCTACATGTTAGATGTAAAATATACATTGTAGATGTAGATGTAGATAACAGATGTAGCAAAAAAATGTAATATGTACAATTTTTTTTTTTAATTCTAAATTCTGAAAATCATATGCTCAAAAATGTAAATACTGACTGAGTACGGGTATAAGTAGAGTCGCGTCTTTAGAAGCGACTCACACGTTCCTTCTCGTTTTATGTTAGTGTTCCGCAAGGTGAAAGTCAGTTAAAGTAAAAATGTTTTAGGAGTTAAGTAGATTTATAAGATGAAAGAAATAATGAATTATATTTGAAGATTTGAAAGGAAAATGAAAATGGAGTAGAGATCCTTAGTTGGGGGGGACGAGAAGGGCGGAAGAGTGAACCAAATGTTTTTAAATGGGAGCGCTCAACAGGTTGAACGCTCATGGAAGGGAGGGACTCGCGATGGTCAAATACAACACCGACTGACCCCGCCGAAGCGAGTGCCAACGAAGATGCGTGTACAAATAAGATCTGTCCGTTACACACAAAATAGTATTTTTTTTGTTAAATCCGTCCCCTGGCTATCGGGTCGGAAACACCCCTGACTTCCCCGAGAGCTAGCCGGGAACGATAGGCCAGGGCGGCAAAAAGGCGGATCATAACAAATGGCGCCCAATTAAAACGAATGGTTCGGTTTTGAACGGGGGGTCAGAGATGCCCTGTTTGAGAATGAGCCGGGAAGAGTTAGCACTCAGCTGGTCCGTGAGCCGGGAATAGACCCCAGCCATAGTAGCCGTTGAGGAGGAGAATTTAGCAGGGGTCTCCAGAGTTGTGGTCCTGGTGTAGCCAAATGGGCTGCAGCCGCGTGGTCCGACTCGTGGAGTCCTCGAAGAGATTTGACGAGTGGATACCTCGAGTTGTGGTCCTGGTGTAGCCAAATGGGCTAAAGCCATGTTGTCCGACTTGAGGGGTCCACGGATCGGATCGGAAGAGTTGTCGGGGGTCTCTCGAGTTGTGGTCCGTGCGGTGCCGAGAAGGCATCAGCATCGTTGCTCGATGGGTCCAAGACAGCTAAAACAAAACAGTAAAAGGGAGTTGGCACTCCAAGGAAAAAAAAAGCGGAAATTAATTGCGAGGGAAAAAGATTGGTTCACTCACCGACTGCAACCGTGAGTTGCAGTTGTCTCTCGTCTCGCCCAACAGATTGTGTAGTTGCAAGGGAATATTTGTTTTTGTTTACGTGTTTATTCTCGAGGGCTGAATATCCTCACTAACATTGGATATAGACAATTTTAGAAGTAGGATTAAATACGTAGGTCAGCGGAATAAGATTTTTGTTTTGGTAGAGGAATTATTTATTTATTTAACTTTAGTATTTATTTAGGCGAGTAAGTGTACATGGATGTTTATTTATTTATTTAGATTTAAAACTATTTATTTATTTAAACATTTTTTGTGGTTTGGTCGCAGATATATTTATTGAGTTATTTATTTATTTATTTTCTCGTTGTCCGTCAGGGTGTTTATGTTTTTGGAATAGGGTAGATAGTTGAGAAAGCTTCAGTTTAGAAAATTAGATAGCCGTGTATGGAAATATTTGTGCGAAATAGGAATTGGAGTAAAGAGAGATTGGTGTATGAGTGAACCGGCGGAATTCAAAGGGTCGGGGAAAACTAGGCGAAGCCCGGAGGTTCAGAGAAGGTTCCAGCCATACAGGATGCCGACTACTAGGTCACAGGACGGGAAAACCGGCCCAAGACCAGAAAGGGCGGTGATGGAACTGGAAGATCCGGAGGAAGGGGCTGTAGGAGGCCAGCCTCCAAGTCACAGAGACCGCGAGATACCCAGCGAATTGAGATCGGCCGTAAACGTGGCGATAGCTCAGGCTCAGGAGACGTATCGAGCATCGTTTGGCCAACAGATGGAAGCACTCAGAGCCTCGATGCAAGCGGATATGCTTGAATTTATGAGACAGATAAATGCGGTGGTCGGCTCGCTGAAGGTGGAGCGAACGCCCAGTGATGTGGATAGGAGAAATGTGGGCTCACGAAACACCAGTCTGGGAGGAGGTCCGCAGGAAATGCCCTCGAACCAGCAAGCTCCACCCACGCACCTGTTTGTGGATAATCGGGCATTGGAGGCCGAGCAGAGGACTAACGGCGAACCGAGACCCGTGGAGGACTGGTTGTTGAACACCAGAGGCTCAGGGGCCAACGCAAATCCGAACAGGAGTCGTC